TCTGAATAGTCTTATTTATACTTTGCAGGGGCATTACTTGTGTTTTTAGCTGAATGCTAAATAAGCATTAAATAACTTATTAGCATTATGGTAATGGATTGTAGACAGGCTATAAGAACTGCTAAAGTGGGGCTTTTAAAAACACTCTCAGCATGTGAAAAGAGGTGTTGGGTTGTTCTCTCAGTGTCGCCGAGACAACATCTGTAAAGAGCAAAAACAGAAGCGTTCATTTCCCATATGAGTCTTTTTAGATTCATTACCTTCCATGTGCAAATCCCATTGTTGAAATTAGACACCCTTCCACTTCATTGGCTTTTCTACTTAAATGAATATTCATATACATTTTTCCTACTGGGTTGAGAGCCTATTCTGCAATTAAATTAAAGGTCTTAATGGTCAAAGACCAATTTGAGAAGTAGTAGTGCTCAGACTTTTACTACACTGGCCGCAGTGGCCTGGTCTCAAATAATTATCCAGTTTTTAACAGCATTTGTGCTATAATGTTGATTACCTATTGCAAAATATAATTTTGACTCATCTGTCTTTCCTTAAAAAAAGCAAAAATTGAGGTTATAGTATGGAACTTAAAATCAAAGTGAATGGGGTCAAATTTTGATAAAAAGCTTATAATTTTATAAAAAGTACTTACAGTAACTCTTCGATTAAAACATTATTTGAACTGTAAAACTGTGTACACTCTTGTTTCAAACAACCCAGCATTTTTTAGAGTGTACATAATCATTTTTACTATTTTAGTGTTTATGACATTGCATTGTAATGGCAATAAAGTTGTAAAATTGGATATAACTTCACACAAAACGTATGCAACATTTTTAGAATACCCTTAAATTAACACTCATTGTTTACCTTTTGTGTCTATACTACTAAAACAGTAAGTATTTTAACATTTACATATTGACCCCATCAATTTCCATTGTTAAGTGGCTTATTGTAACCTATATTTTTGCTTTTTTAATGAATAGGAGAGACAAGCGGAAATAGTTTTTGTGGTAGTCAACATGATGCCACAAATGCTGTTGATTGGGCTTAACTTGTACTGAACTTAGAAAATTCCTGCATCTTCCATCAAGCATCCAATTACATAATACCTTCTTCCTCTCCTCTTTAGGCATACTAAACAATACAGTATTTAGCAAATACTGTATTCTGCATAAACAGAATTCAATTCAATTTAGTGATCATACATGAATAAGTACACATGGGATGTTCAGTAGCTAGTCGAATGGTGGGCAGTTGCCCAAAAGTCAATCTGTCGAGTAAAATTACTGCAGCCTGGCAGTAAGTTTAGCACCACTCTCTATTTTCACCAGACACAATGCAATGTTCCCTTTTAAAAAAGTGAAAAGGAATCCCAAAGAAGCTAAAGAGATTTCAGGATTAACATAGAATTTAGAGCTAAATCCTTTAGCATTTCAAAATGTGCACTGCATGTCAACTGCAGGCCAAAGAGGCATCCCTCTGTGCACATTATTAAATTGAGTAGTAATGGCAAAGTTGAAACAATATAAAGAAAGCCAGAATTGGGGAACCGGGCCTGCTTTTGTGCATGCAAAAAGCTCTACGAGCACACCCCATCAAGATTGTATTTGAAAAAAAAAAAAAAAGTCTAGAAAGCTTTTGTCTTTGAAAGCTTTTGTGTGAGAAGTAGAGAACTTGCCTGCATGCAATGAGAGCTGGGCATGAGTAATAGTGTGGAGTGGCTGGTGGTCCAAATACATTACCTCCAATTTTCATACTATTACACAAAAAGCTATTCTTCAACCCAAAAAGACGTGATTTCACCCTCAGTAGTAAGATATTTTGTGTTCAGCTGCACAGTGGAACTGTGCATATGCCAGCCACTTCATTTAAGATTCCAATTACAGGGTATTCTGCTATGTGCTTGTGCATGCTGTCTTAGTTTTTCTCTTTTCCAACTTCTGACAGCCAATTTCAGTTGGCTTCATATTCTTTCCAGTTATATTTCATGTGCTGTAGTCTGCACTTTGAATTCACAAAGCAGGCAACATTTGCCATGTCACAAATTAAGCTGAAAGCGGTTTGCCTTGAGTACTGAATGTATTCACCACTAAAGCTTTATATACTTCAACAGGTCAAATAATTATTAAATAGATGAGCTTCCTCAAAGGAAATGAATCAGCTTTATCAAAAGCATTTCAGGCAGTCACGGGAGGAATCTTCCAAAACCTCCATTAAGGTAATATACCTAAGTCAGAATTTAATCCACTTAAACGTGGAGTAATTAGACTGAATAATTAAAATGATTAATAAATAATTGAAATGGCCCTTCAAAAAATAATTTCCAGACAGAATCTTAAGTAGAGTGTGGAGCAAGCCGCCTAAGCATTTCTACACCGCTTTTCTTATTTGCTATCTTATTGACAGCAATCTTTCTTTTGAAAACCATGTTTCTAGCATTTGTATTTCCATCATTTTTCCATCTTAAAAATAAATCGAAATTACGACCTATGCTCTCAGTGTCAAAAACAGAAACGTTAATTAATGCGTTCATGACCTCAAGGTTAGATTATTGTAATGCTTTATTGGGTGGTTGCTCTGCGTACTTAATAAACGAACTCCAGCTGGTCCAAAATGCAGCAGCTAGAGTTTTTACTAAAACCAGGAAGTATGACCATATTAGCCTGGTTCTGTCAACTCTGCACTGGCTCCCTATTAAACATAATGTACATTTTAAAATCTTGCTAATTACTTATAAAGCCCTAAATGGTTTAGCTCCTCAATACTTGAGCGAGCTCTTATCGCATGATAATCCTTCACGTCCGCTGCAATCTCAAAACTCTGGCCATTTGATAATACCTAAAATATCAAAATCAACTGCTGGCGGCAGATCCTTTTCCTATTTAGCGCCCAAACTCTGGAACAATCTACCTAGCATTGTTTGGGAGGCAGACACACTCTTGTCAGTTTAAATCTAGATTAAAGACCCATCTCTTTAACCTGGCATACACATAACACACTATCACATTTCTATAATTCAAATCCGTTAAAGGATTGTAAGGCTGCATTAATTAGGACAACCGGAACCGGGAACACTTCCCATAACACCCAATGTACTTGCTACATCGTAAGAAGAATGGCATCTATGCTAATATTAGTAGATATTATTATTAGTAGATAATATTTGCACAGACACTATTGAAAGAGAGCTGAACTGGATGATGACATAACTGAATCATCAATGAACTGATTTTAGCTGTGAAAATGCCTGTTTGTATAGTCTTCTTGCATTATTGACCAACTATTTTCCCGTTTGCCACTGTAAAGCTTCTTTGACACAATCTATATTGTATAAAGTGCTATATAAATAAAGGTGACTTGACTTGGGTAATATGAACAAGAAAATACTATTTTGTGCATTTAAGTGGATAGAATGCGTTTTTGTTTGGCCCATGAAGATTTTTAATGTGCCCAAAATATACATACACTGAAAAAATTTGGTGTAGAATTTACTTTAAACAATTTTCACACAAAAAATGCTAGTAAATTCAAAATCTGCTGGTAAAGTTCACAAAAAAAGGCAAGTAACACTGAATTACTTTGAAATTTGGAAGTAGAAAGACTACTTCCAAAAATTATTCTTTACAGTGTACTAAGTATAAAAATTACAGCAAATTCTTGTTTGCAATCCATTTTAAAAATAGGGGGCATGGCTTGATTTTATCCATCTAAAATTTACTGGATGGATTGAATGTGATTTTGCTAAAACATTTACTAATTAGTAATTAAGGTGTTCGCTAGCATTATCCAACAGTGGCCTAAATGATGTCGACAAAACAGAAAAGTTATTTTAGAAGAAGAGAAACTTGATTCAAAATTATGAAGAATATTTTAAATAACAAGCAAAGATTAACCGCTAGCAATATTATCAAAAACATCCATTTATAAATAGGGTCAATTTGATTTCACATTGGTTTTAAAAGGCAGAGAAGACAAAAACAGAGAGCTTCCATTTAATTGAACAGCTGTAGATAAGTGAGATCCTGTCTTTTATCACAATGGCAGCTCAGCTTTGACCTTCTGCAGTAATACAGTCTGCTTCTCTATTAAAGTCTGATTATATTACCTGTAGCCAAAGGAGCTGCTAACACAAGCACCTTTGAGCTGACCTGAGATAAAATTTATGGTGGGAGTTCACCTCACACAGAGACTGAGGAGCGAGATGGATTTTTCACATCTCAGCGCTCTCTGTAGGTTCTTGGCATCATCTGACTAACTCTTGTGCCGTCTTAATTACAGATGACTGCCGGGCAATAGCCAACACGTGATTTACACCTTAAACCACAGACTTTTTGCTAGCATGATAATTAATGTGGCTATATACAGCCCGCTTGAGTACCCAATATTGATCCACACAAAATAAACATGCATTCAGTCCAAATACTGCCATCATGCACCATTTTTTTTTTCAAGGGCACCAGTGTTAGTTTCTTGGCACCACAGGCAAGAAAAAAAATTATTTCATTATATAAGAGTAATATTTTTATATAAGGGATAGTCTAACGGTACAGTTTTGTTTAGCATTAATTAATACACAATATCTATTTTAAAATTCCCACAAAATCTCAATACTTCTTCATTCTTGCATAAATACAGACATATAAAAGCAGTGTAAAAAAAGAGAAACCCTACTATACCATATACATTCATTATGCCTCATATGTTCTGAGTTAATAAAATATCTAATGTTATCAATCCAAAGATCATCTAAAAAAAAGTGTAGTGTCACTATCCTTACAAAAATTTACATGGGCAGTACCATGGTTCAGTGGTTGTATATAACAAAGTATTAAATTATTTCCATATTCACTACAAGGTACTTTAAATACAACACTATTGTACACACTATTGTAACAAGTCCTGCAAAAACATGACAAGACCCTGATACCGTTTGGACATTTTTGTTAATGTATATTTGAGTGTGTAAAAGGAAAAGAGAGAGAAGTAGGGTTTGCACATACCTTTAATCCGTAAACTCTCTGAGATCCCATCCTGCTGGAACAAGAACAGAGAGAAAAACAATACTTACAATACATTCAACAATACATTCACAGTATAGTATGTCAATAGAGTCCTGGCCACAGACATCCACATACTGGATATTGGATGGCTTACATACTCCAAATACATCTTATTGCTGTTTTACTTCTAGAGAAAATTACATTATTAAATGAATAATGTAAATTTAAATGACTGCTGCTCCTTTCTTTCTTTAAAAGTTTGTTATACATAATTCCTATGCCATATTGCCATAGCAAAGTCTAAATATTCATTCAAAATGTTGGTGCTTGAATTATTTGTCAGTATGCGTTAAATGATTCATTCATTCAGACCAGCCAGCATACAGCACTCTCTCAACGAGTCTATTTCTAAAGGTTAAAGGATGCCGTATTCCACCATTAAAGAGACATATGGGAAATGTTAATGTTAGCTGTAATTTTGCTTCTAAGGAAGAAATACAACAGTGTCATAGGATGAAAAATAAAAGCAAATGTGTAACAAAACTCTAAACCAGAAGCTCAAAAGTAATAGCCGACCCAAAAATGAAAACATGGTCATCATTTTCATGTCATTCTGACCCTGTTTTGCAACATGAGATGAAAACTTCCAAGCTACTCTTTTTACAGTGAAAGTCGATGTGTATATAAAGTGTTATTCACTGCCACTAAGTGACATATGCAGAACTACTGCTTTAAAATTGTTCATGAATTACAGTGTCTATAAGGACAAACGATGGCTAAATAAACTTTTGTTGTACTGTAATTAGTAAATATATCAGTAACTGGTCTTGGTATAAAGAGATTAACAAGATGTCTTGGATATAGAAGGATTTTTCATTTAAGATGGATAATTGGTGAGGATTTTAATTTCGAGTGATAACCATGAAGCAGCAAATTACAGGCTTTCTCTCTGTTTTCCAAAGACTTTGAAGCCATTTGTCCAATCTGTCCAAAATGCAAACAAACTTGCTGCAAGCCACTCCCCTTCCTGTGCCAGTCTTGGAGACAGTGGGCGAATTCCAAATGGAAGTGAGCATCCCTATGCCCTACTCCCTTCGAAGGGCAGAGCACTTGAAGTGTGTTCTTTGAAGGGTGCAGGGCATTACTGTCTCGTATAAGCGTTTGGAACTCCCTTGGCGAAGGGAATGACTGACCAAATGTTACCCTGACAACGCTGCGTGTGCGCGTGCACTCCATCAGTTGTTGCAAATAAATCTTTCTTCTTATTATTTTATTCAAATATTGTCACATTTTTTCTTATTTACTATTAAATGTTTTCAAACTAAACTTGCTTAAACTTGCTCACACTACCGTCTTAAATCATATTTCTATCACTGATGAAAAATATTTTGTCTTACATTAAAATAGACAAATTGAATTAGCCTATTCTATTTACGTTTATATGTGAACTCAAAATCAACCCCAACTTTGCTTTAAAAAGCATCACAAGATCTTTATTATTATTATTAGGGCTTCATGTTAATGTTAATTTAATGTTTATGCTAAAAAAA